GAGAGCAAATAAACCTATCAATTTAGAAAGTCATAAAATATTGTTAATTATTTGCTAGGAAGCAATAGTAATATTTATAATCAATTTTCAAACAACTGAATTGGGTTTGGGAAGATTGTCTTACATCCTTATAGATGTGCCCAAGGCTTTAGATGCCTTAGTGATCTAAGTCTCTGATGAGCCTATAGGGCCTGTTAGTGCCAGCTGGGGAGGAGATGAGCAGATAATGGTGCCCCATGGTCACTGTGTGCAGGTCACAGTATTCCTGACATTGGGTCTCATTCTTCCCAAGGAGCATGGGACCCTGCATCCTGGTTTGAGTGAAGAGGGGGTTTTTCTCCAAGAGCAGTTGGCTACATATTGTGGGATTACCATACACGCAAGTCAGCATTTGTCACACATGCATTGAAAGGTTGATTGGGTCTGTGTCAGACACTGTAGAGACATTAGACTTTGCTGGCAACAAGAAGTTGAGACAGTGGGAAGAGTGAGGCCCAGAAAACTGTCATAGCACCGGCTTTTCAATACACTCACTTCAATGACCAGTCTCAGCTTTTCTTACCCAAGGTACTCTTGCCATGTTGTAGAGGCATCTGGAGAGCGTTGGCCAATCTTGACTTTATACCTTTAAGTAGCTTGATTTAGCTGTGCACCCAGGAGAGCAGCTTTGAGCACCCAGCAGCATTTGAGATCAATCACCATTGACCAAAACACTCAGTGGGCTTTACTTCAGCCACGTTCCTGCCTGGTTTCCTGTTTTTGGCTTTCTTTTCCATTCCCATCAGGCCACAGACCTCTGGACTTGACAATTATGTCTAGTGGCTTCAGCCTCAAACTCTTTGCTCTCCCTTGAGCACTTTGCCTTAGATCTGTTCTACCAGATTTCCTTTATTAGTACTTCCTCAGGTGTTCAAAAAAATTCAAAAAGTTAACATAGCAGGTCTGATGGCTATCCTTTGAAAGGCCTCCTTACAAAATTGGCCCTTGGTGGTGTCTGGGAACATGGATTTGGACAGGATTCCTATCATATGAACTGATTAAAATGGCTCACTATACCTAAACTGTTTGTGTAAACAATGTGGTTTATGCCTAACATCTGCTTTCCTTCTGGCAGGATGGAATTTTGTGGTAGGCAGAGGGTGCCTACGTGATCAGCCTCCAGTAAAAACCCTAGATGCTGAGTCTATAATATTTCACACATATCATCATGACTCATTGCTGAGGAATTACATGTGTCCTGTGTGAGAGGATAATTAAAAGCTTGAGCTGGGTTTCCTTTGGACTTTATTTACTCCATGTGCCTTTTACCTTTGCTGACTTTTCCTTGTCTCCCTTTGCTGTAATAAGTCATAGCCAAGAGGATGACCATATGCTGAATTCTGGAGGTGGTCTTGGGGACCCTTGACACATCAGGTAATATACAGAACCCACTGGAGAAAGACTTCAACGTAATTTTTGGTTTGATCATCTTTTTCTTAGATGTTAGGAGTTGGAACCCCTAGACATATCAGGCATTACAGAAGGTGTTTGGGAGACCCAAAGTGCTAATGTGGAGGCTAATAGTATGTGGAAAATTGGCATATGATGTAGACTTCTCAAAAGACACCTATTAGAAAAGGTTACATAGGCTACACTCAGGAGAGATCAAAGGAGGAAGATCAAGGAAGGTTTGGAGGATTCAGTATGGCAGAAAGACACACAAATCGGAGGCAGGACCCTCCTAAAACAGAATCCAAAGTCATATCCCAGAAAAGGGAATAGAGGGACAAGAGCTGGTTTTGTCTCAGTCACATTGGCTGAGTAGGTTAAAACCAGGAAGTTTGTTAAAAACATAACAAAAGAACTAGCATGAGCACAAAGACAAACTTCTTTCTTAAACAATACTGTTTTTGATAAAGCTGCAGTCAGAAATCATTCTAGGGATAAAAAGTTCACAAATAGAAAAAGTAAAAAACGGGTGGAGTTATTGAGAAGTATTTTCATTATTCTACCTTAATAATGCAAGTTGTTTGTGTATGGATAGGGTAGATTAGGGTTTAGCACATGAATTTTTTTTCATGTACCAAACATTTGTCTCATCAGTTTTGCTGTCTTACAGAAAAATCAGGGTTCAAATTCTCATTGGGAAGGAAGCCTCTGATTTTTTTAAAGACATAATTTATAGTGGTTATGAGCATGGACTTGGGAATCAAGTGCCTGGTTTTGAGTTCTAGTTCTAATTACTTGCTATGTGATTTCGGACAAGTTAATAACCTCTTTATGCCCTAATTGTCTCATCTGAAAATGCAAATAATAATTATATTTACTTCATAGTGTTTCTGAAAGAACTACTTGAATTAATCCATATGAAGAACTTATATAGTACCTGGCATATAGTATATGCTCAAGAAATGGTAGATATTATTATTACTGCTATAAAACATGATTTCTGTGCTCTCAGAAAGTGAATTCATAGGATGTTGTAAATGCTTGGGGGCTATAATGATATGTCCCAATATCTTGTAAATGAGATAAAATAGAATGCCTTCTAAGAGTTTAGCTATAAAACTAACAAAAAGAAATAACCTGACTGATAGCTCAAAGGCTCAGAAAATTTCAATGTACCCAGATGGAAGTTATTATATCTTAAGAATGTATCAATCAAAAAAAGTGGTTGTTCAACTGTGGCATAATAGAACAGTAGTTCCAAGAGTTTGGGTTTTATGATCTACTTAAAAAAAATTGGAGGATCTGATGAAGTTCTGCCAACTTTTTAATTTACCAAAGCCTGGCATAAAAGAGATCCAACCATCTACTACCACCATCATGTCCTAAAGGAAAAAAAAATAGATATGGCATATTCTCAAAACAAAGACAGTTTTTTGGGGGGAGATTTTTTTTTTCTGTTCCCCCCAAACAGGTGAAAATCTCCTTAAAGACAAGCAACACTCTCTGGACCAGCCCTAGGGATAAGAAAAGTGCAGAAGCAAGCATTGTAGTGCCCATTGTCCAAGTAAAAGGAAACTACACTATCAGGCTTTGATCTATTCCTGGTTCCAGTTGCAACACTATTTCTAATGTGAAGATAAACACAGGAGATTTAAGCATTGATTTTTAGTACTTCCTGTTAGTATGGTCACACAAGTGACAGGACATTCACTAAACATTTGATTTGTCTGTTTCCCCTTGATTTGATTTCATGCTCATGAAGCAATCTTCTAATTCCAGCGTAGGTCTACCTTGAGGGAGAAGATGGGTTGACCACATGAACTTCAAATATTTCTGACAAATCACTGAAATGGCTTGCGAGCAAGGCTTAGTTTCCTATGTAGCTTCATTACAGGAGAGAGTATGTACTGATTACACTCACAGGGGTTTTGCTGTTTTATTTCTCCAGGTAAATTAATACATTTGCATTCTGGTGTCTATTTTGGTCTCTTGTACTTTTTAGGCAACTTGTCCCAATCTCTCAGGGCCTTATTACTCCTAGGCACTGAGAAAATGAAATTTCTAGGCTTTGGAAGCAGCCAGTCTTCTCATAGACAATGTCACATACGCACAGTTCCATTTTCAGTGTCATGCCTATCTGTTCCACTGACGTCTAAAGGAAATACATGAAGAATAACAATGGCTTTATTAGTCAAGGCACAAGCCAAGCTGCTGTTGTAAAGAGGTCCCAAAATACAGTAACTTAAATAAGATAGAAGTTTCTTTTTCTCTTATAAGTGCGGGGTAGGAGGTCCAAGGCTGGCCTGCTAGTTCTGCTCCATGTGAGCAGAGGCCCAGGTTTCATTCAGAGACCCACGTTTCTTCTATCTCCTTGCTTCACCATCTCGCTGGGTGTTGTTTTCATCCATGTGGTGGAAATTGGCTCCCTCCATGTTTATATTCCAGCCTGGGAATGGGAAAGTAAATGTCCAGAGCAAGGAACCTTGGCTTTAAGGAAAAATGTGGAAGCTGTACACATCACTTCTGTTCACATCCTGTTGGCCCAAATTTAGTCACTTAACCACATCTAGCTGCAAGGGAAACTAGAAATGTTCTGCTCGGTGTCATGCCCTGTGACCAAGAATATATAAACCACCTGGATTTCTCTGAATAATTTGTCCATATTTGTGAGTGATCCCTGTGAAATGTGTCCTAACCTTAGTATCATGTAAATAATA